ATCGCTACTAGGAGCAAGGACGGTACTAGGGGCTCCTGGCATCGCTAATAGGAGCAAGGACGCTACTCGGGGCTCCTAGCATCGCAACTAGGGGCAAGGACGCCACTAGGGGCTCCTGGCATCGCTACTGGGAGCAGGGACGCTACTAGGGGCTCCTGGCATCGCTACTCGGAGCAGGACGCTACTTACTAGGGGCTCCTGGCAAGGCGCTACTACGGGCTCCTGGCATCGCTACTAGGAGCAAGGACGCCACTAGGGGTTCCTGGCATCGCTACTAGGAGCAAGGCGCTACTACGGGCTCCTGGCATCGCTACTAGGAGCAAGGACGCCATTAGGGGCTCCTGGCATCGCTACTGGGAGCAAGGACGCTAGGGGCTCCTGACCTCACTCCTAGGACCAAGGCGCTAGGGGCTCCTGGCATCGCTGCTAGGAGCAAGGATGCTAGGGGGGAAGGATGCTACTAGGGGTCCTGGCATCGCTACTAGGACCAAGGATGCTAGGGGCTAGGGGCTCCTGGCATCGCTACGTACTAGGAGCAAGGATGCTACTAGGGGCTCCTGGCATCGCTACTTGGACCAAGGATGCTAGGGGCTCCTGGCATCGCTGCTAGGAGCAAGGATGCTACTAGGGGCTCCTGGCATCGCTACTAGGACCAAGGATGCTAGGGGCTCCTGGCATCGCTGCTAGGAGCAAGGATGCTAGGGGCTCCTCAAGGATGCTACTAGGGGCTCCTGGCATCGCTACTAGGACCAAGGATGCTAGGGGCTCCTGGCATCGCTGCTAGGAGCAAGGATGCTAGGGGCTCCTGGCATCGCCACGTACTAGGAGCAAGGATGCTACTAGGGGCTCCTGGCATCGCTACTAGGACCAAGGATGCTACTAGGGGCTCATGGCATCGCTACTAGGACCAAGGATGCTAGGGGCTCCTGGCATCGCTGCTAGGAGCAAGGATGCTAGGGGCTCCTGGCATCGCTACGTACTAGGAGCAAGGATGCTGCTAGGGGCTCCTGGCATCGCTACGTACTAGGAGCAAGGATGCTACTAGGGGCTCCTGGCATCGCTACTAGGACCAAGGATGCTACTAGGGGCTCCTGGCACCAAGGATGCTAGGGGCTCCTGGCATCGCTACTAGGAGCAAGGACGCTACTAGGGTCTCCTGGAGCAAGGGGCTCCATCCACCGGCCCGCCTTAGCCTCGGGGCGCGGAGGGCCTTGGCAAGCTGTGATTCACGTGACACAGTTTATGCTCACGAATCCAACCCGCCAGGATCAGTTGAATGTGAGGGCGCGGCACTCATACTAAGTTGGTTTTGTTTCATCTGTTTGTCCGCGATCTAGTTCATCCCAGTCTTATCCCCTCATGTTCTGCAGCACGGCAAATATCATGCTCCTCCCGTGGTGCGACGCCGGCTTGATCTGCATTCTCTTGAGGGGTCTGGCAGTCACAGCGCCCAAAAGGGTTTGGAAGGCTATGGATCTCTCGGGGCAGGTGCCTCTACAATGAACATCTTATTTTAAATCTTGTGCCTGCCTGCTGTTGCCATCGGAAAGATGCTGGGAAAGCTTGTGGCGGACTTGTGGCCCATTGAGTAACTTAGCGCTTCACTCACTGAGTGGTGATCAATAAGACTAAATTGAGGCACTCCAGATCATTCAATAATGTTCACAGAGTCTCCTAACCTTTGTTGACATAGAAAAAGCAAGAGAAATCGGCAACTAGGAAAGGGCGCCCGTCTGAGCACCGGGCCAAACAAATGCCGGAGAGGAAATGGCATCTCCGCCTTTTGCTGTTCTTGTTGCAGGCAACCCGCTGCGCCGTGGTGATTGCAAGGATTGACACACATACAGATATATATATATATCTATTATATATACAAATATAATATAGTATATTTACAATATTTTATAACTTCAGCCGACTATCACCCAAGCTACTGGCATCTGCCTGCTGCCTCTTCGTTTCGTCCGGTCAAAAACAAGCCGCCATCTGCGCCTCCTGGGGCTGAGAATAAGCCTGACCTGCATCCGGAGCGACTCTAGATCGATGAGTGCTGAGTGACCCCATACCACCAAGCGAAAGTAATCTGAATTCAAACCTTGGTCGTCAAGGTTGTTTTCTGGAGGGGTCCTCACAAAGGAAACTGAGAGTTCAGAACTCCTGGGACAGACGAAGGCAATCGGAGGACCTTCGAACTACAACTGCTGGCCGTGGCATCCCTTCCGAGTCTTCCAGCCATAATAAACCCCTCACATCCCCTGCACCTCCATGAGACATGGCGGCCTGGCAGATTGACAACTGTAAGGCACCAAGGTGAGCCGAGTCAAGATTGCAATAGATTGCAAAGTATCTATTATAAATAGCGATGGCCTCCAACCATAGACCGTTTCCCCAAGGGTTCTGACGAACTGAAACAAATATGGACCACCGCTATGTGTTGGCTTGAACAAGGGCGGGCGCTGCGGCCCCCCCAAAAGCAATCCAACAGGAACTTGCCTGCTGAGCGTTCTTCCTGTTCCTGCTTTGCTCTCCCAAAAGCAACCAAACTCCACAGCACAGGCTTTGAAGAACTCTAAGAATGAACACCCAGTTTCCACAGTTCCTGGGAAAAAAATTGGAGGCGGGTATCCGCTAGTGGCCTCTGGCTACCGCGTTCACACAGAACACAGACATGTGGGCCTGCGTTGCTTCAAGCTGGCGACTCAAGTGTTCAACTTGCTGGGCCGCGTTGATCAAGGTCTTTTCCGCATTCCTGACATCTGTCACAAACATTCACTTGCTGGATGAGAGTGCAAGGGTTGCAAGGGGGTGCCAGAGCAGGCTCCATACACCCTGACAGGGGCACTCGCACTTGTTAGAGCCCAGCTGCCGAGCCCACGCATACTGCACAGTTGGACATGCTTGTCTTGGGGTGCACATGTTGAAAGTCTTCTGTTTTTTTTAGCCCGGGGGGGTAGGCCGCTAGTAGAGGTAGGTAGCAGCTAGAGGGCTTAGAGGTAGGTAGCTAGTAGCTAGGTGGCTAGTACCTTACTTAAGCTACTAGTATGGACGCAGGATAGCCCACGCTGGCATTTTTAGAGAAACCTGAAACACCAGTGCTTCCTCGCCTTTGCGCTACCTGCTGCTGATGCAGCATGTGCATCTGCCGCATCTGACGAAACGTGGCAACAAACTGAACTCCATTGTCTGACCCCTTCACTTTCATCGCTGTGCAGTCTTAATGTTGCCGGTGCTTTCCTTGTCCAAGTGCTTCTGCTTCCTAGATTTTGAGGCTAGTTTCCACCTGCCATCCAATGTTTGCCACTCACCCCACCTGATTGATCTGCTCGTTGAGATCCATCATTTGTTGCACTTGTGCCTGGGAACACTACGATATGGCACAACCCCAGGCCAGGGTCCTGATTCAAAAATGAATCCAGTGAGTCTTGTTGAGAGCGCACGTTTGCAATTTTTAGTAAATATTTATTAACTAATAGCCAACTAATGCAAAAAACAATTATATAAGATCAATTACTGTAAGTAGTCAAGTGAAGTCACACGTACTACTGGAGTGGTACTACGGAATCATCACTTCTAGAGCATCCCCTTTCCTCCCAACAATTACGAGCTGTTTTCCCTGCTGGGCTTTCACGATTTCGTCATGTCGGCCTTTCCACTTCCGACTCCGCGAAGCGAGAAGTCGCACTCGCCAAGGCTTGAAGAGATGCGTCCAAGGCTGTCTCTTCGGCCTCGCAAAGCAACCGCAACTGCGCTTTGTGGATCACCTCGCTTTGGACCTCACTTCGAAGTCGCCCCAATGCCACTTCCTGATGCCCAAGCGCGGCGCGTGCGGAGTCCAAGCGCTGCAGCAGCTGTTGGTGACGCAGATCTAAATCCTCACCAGTGACCTGAAGCATGTTGCTCATGGCACGCTGGTGATTGAGCATAGCACCAGTCTCCTGCAACTCTGACCGACATTGTCCACATTGCGCCGTCAAGTGTGCAGTTGCAGCTTTGCATCTCTCAGTGCGACGGCCTGCTTCGCTGCATTCTTCGGCCAAGCCGGCAAAGAGTTCCGCCCCCATGGCACTTTCAGCTTTCAAAGCTTCTTCAAGTCGCTTTCGCAAGCTAGCCCCACGGAGCAGGTCCTCCTTGCCACGCTCACGCTCTGCCTCCACACACGCCTCCAAAGCCTGACTTTGCTGCTCTAGATCTTTGCAAATGGCGTCCAGCTGCTCCTGCTTGCGTTTGGAATGGTCTGCTCGCTGGCGTGCATCTGCTGGAGTGCATGTTATGGTGACATCCTCTTGAAGGTTCGCTTCTCGCTCCGCCAAGTGCTGGCGGAGTCGACTGGGCAGCTCAAGGAGCTCAGCAGGCTCTGCCTGACATTCAACAAGCTTGGATCTCAGCAGGTGCCAAGTTCTGAGCTTTCGCCTGATGTCTCTAGTGTCTTGAACACCCCTGTGTTGCACAGAAACTGAACTGCAACCTTCGTGCAGGTCAACCCACTGCTGGTCCAGCTCCACGCGTTGCTCTTCGATCCGCTGCTCTGTTTGGCAAAGTTCTTCAAGTTGCCTTGCCTCGCAGCACAGCACCGATGGCCTGCAAGGTGATGGAGGCTCTTGATGCTGTAATCGAACTACTAACTCCTGCAACTGAGCAGCGCCTGCCTGTTGAGCCCGTAGCTCTTCAGTGAGCTCTCGCAGCAAAGCCCTCGGAGCTTCAGAAAATTCAGACGGTGAGGTGTTTTGAGAGCCTCTGTCACCTTCAAAGGCTGAAAGTTCAGCAGCACAAGACCTCAGTTCCGCCCGAAGCACTTGACATCTCTCAAGAGCCTCTGCGATTGGAACACTCTCGTGACCCTGCTCTGGTTCTCGCCCACGTGTGCCGGAGCCACCAGTATCGCAGCGTCCTTCAGCGATCTCCCCATCTTCAGGAATCCGACTTCGGAGGGCTCTTGCCAACGCTGAGCTTTCTGTCACTACGTGCCTTGCACAATCGAAAGCCAATTGCAAGTCCGGAAGCCTGTCATCCTTCGTGTCAACGGCTAGGTGCTCGGACTGTTCCATCTCTGAGCAACTTTCTTTCAGTCTCTGCAAGCGGCCCTGTTTCCGACGCAGAATTGCGTTCTTCTTCTTCAATTGATGTTGATTCTGCTGCATCATGGCCATGAGAGCAGTCTTGGAAGATTCGATGTCACGCTGCATTTCTTGTCGAAGTTCTCGCTGTTCAGCAGCACGCTGCCGTGCAGTCGCGTCGGACCTTCTTGCCTCTGAACGCAGGGCTTCTGCCTCTTCCTTCAAATCTTTCAGCTGGGCTGCAGCCAAAGACTCAAAGGCAAGCCGCTCATCTTGAGCCTTTGCCTTCGCCTGCTCTGCAGCCTTGAGGGCCTTCCGCTGTTTCCGCAGTGCCACATCAAAGCCATGCTCTAACTCCAGCACCACGGCCTCATCAATGTCATTTGCACATACACCAAGCACCCTAGAAGATCGGGCAGAGGCAGAGGGGGCAGAAGGTGCAGAAGGAGCAGAAGGTGCAGAGCTCCCTGCGTCGCTCAAGAGTTTCCGGCTGCTGTTGATGGCCTGCCTTGCTGCGCTGGCAATCTCCCGAGCATCCCGAAGCTCTGGGCGGTCTGAATCACTCAGCTCTTTGGCCAAGAGTGCACTCAGGCTGGCCATTGCAAATCAGCAAGCCTTGCATCTAGCTCGACATGGATGGCTTGAGGAGATCAAGGAAGCTTTCACAAAGAAACTTGAATGCTATGCTGGGATGATCCAAGCTGTTTCTGGACCCATGCAATGCCAGTATTCTAATTGTCCTGCAGCTGGTTTCTTTTGGACAAGTGGTAAGATAACAGGCAAAGGCTTCACCCGCACTGTATGAGAAAGAGCTTCAAGTGACTTTCGGTGCTCGCCTGTTGCTGCTGTACTTGCAGAAGTTGTTTCTGCTGCTTTGCAAGCTGCTCATACGCCTGGTTCAGGCAGCAATGACACTCTGTTCCACATCGTGCGCCAAATGTCTATTCCCTTCAATTTATATAACAGCCGTTAACCACCTGCCAGCACTCTGCACTGGCGATCACCCCAAGCCTTTGAAGGGTGGAGGCCATCACCATTAGGTTGGATGCTGCTACATCATCGACAATTGATACTAGTAGCTTCTAGCTACTAGTAGTAATGGCCTTATTACTGGTAGCGTCCTTGCTACTAGTAGCGGTTCACCTTGTTACTAGTACCGATGCACTTGTTACTAGTAGTGATAGTGCTACTGTTTGCGAAACTGCTCTGCTCTTCGGATCCACTGGACCTCCTGAGATGCCTCTGCCGGTTCTCCCCGAAGCTGTGGCCTGCACCGGTGTCCAATTCAAAGGAAATTTGGTTCGTCTTGAAGTAAAATCCGTTTATAGTTAGGTGCCATGTTGTTTGGTTTGTTTTTTAAACGAGAATTGGGGGGGCTGATGGATGCACACCTTTTGCTGACAGAAAACGCAGCACATCGGCCACACACCCATGAAATTGGCCCATACCAAGGGGTTGTCAGGGAGCTCGACAGTTGGAGAAAGATCCCAATAGCTTAGGCATGGTTAGGCTACCAAGTCGGAAAACCAAACCAGCGACACGTCACATCTCGTTTTGAACGACATTAGCCACTTTCGGCACACAAGAACATATAGCCGTCCATCCAACCTATTCCGACCTACATGGTCAGGCGATCCTCAAGTCCAATTCTTCCAAGGCAGGTGACTGAATCAGATGTTCTGCTGTCTAGCCTGAATGGTCCTGATGTTGCATGACCTTGCTGATGGCCTCACAAGTATGCGGGTACGTTCAAGGTATGATGATGCAAAAAAACAAAGCACAGGTGATAATGTTGGCTGCAAATTGTTGCAGATTGTTGGATAGCTAGGTACATGACATAGAAAGATAAAGATAGATACAAGAGTTGGTCTTGTAAAAAAGTTGGCTGCCAGGTCAAAGCTTGCAAAGAAGCCCCCAAGCCTCCAATTAACATCAACAAATCCTCAGTTGAAGGCAAGTTCCGGCGCACGTTAAATTGAGGTTGATAGCGGAGTGGCCCCTGAGCCGGAGCAAACCTGGGAAGGGAGAGCCGAAACATAATTGTTGACCGTTGGAATTGCACCTGCCACACACTCTGGCAATGTCTACTGCGCTCTCAAAGCGAACAACAACTTTGTCACACGGTCCACCCACTCACACGCCCCACAGCAGGGGAGTGGCACGAGGAGATGAGGATGCGGTGTACAAAACGATGCGTGGAACACATGAAGATCATTGCGAAGAACCCTCTCTTTGCAGGGCGCGTTTTCCAGTGAGCAGCAAGTGAACTGTGAGATTACTGTGACTGTTGACACTGTTCATTCAGGCTTGCGTCTCGAGCACTCATTCAAGCACTTCTTCTACCAATCACCTCCTTCGAGTTCATCTGGCAGAACCCAACCGACCCTCACAACGGTTCGACTCATACGGCAAAGTCTGTTTGAGAGATGCCTCGAACAAAAAGACACATTGCAATTAAGACATTAAGAGATCTCCTCAAATTTGTTCACATGAAAGTCTTACCCTCCACGCTTCCCAGAGTGGTTTTACTCAGCCTGTCGAAGGTCTGCAGACGAAGGGAAAGAAATTTGTTGGTGGTAATGCAAAAGCAAAGCGCAGGTTTTGGTGCTGAATCGCAGCTGAGCCAATGCACTCGCGCAGTCTAAAATGTAAGCTCAGGCAGAGGAGGAATTCTTCCATCTGTCCTGGATTAGGATGATGTCCATGGGAACATGCGATCGGTACAAAGATGTGGCACCACCGCGCCTTATACATAGAGTAAGCGGTACCCAAATTGGAAAGTCGAAAGAAGGACATGAGCTATTGAAGTGTGACAACCGTGCGCCACTGCTAAGTGCAGGCAAACGTGCCCCTTACTGTGCCATTCCACCTTCTTGCCAATCTGATGAGGAGGGGATGTTTTGACCAGGGAACACCCGGAACACTTGCGCTCATCCGGATCTCGCTCCCGTTACGTGAAGCCGAGCCAGCTGCAGGGCTACCTCTGTAGGGCGACTTCCAAAGGGGAACCTTGCGCCAATGAGGATTGATCGATCAATATGCACGCAGGCACGATACATTCCTGGTCAGCGTTGATAGTGAGTGGGCATTGACCCATCGCTAATAGCAACAATGGGCATTCAAAATTTAGATCCACCCCACAGAGGTATCACCTTCTAGAAAATAGATCCGCCCTCAAGAGTCGCAGCCACCCTACTATGTAAACAAACGTTCAGGAGAAATTCGCTAGCATCCAGGCTTGCGCCCGTGCCAAAACACTCCACGCGGTCGCTGTTTGCAACTTGGAGCCTTTCCGTGCCTGCTCCTCTCGTGACCCTCAGACTACAAATGTTGCCATTGGTGAGCCACGCATTCATTCACCATGTTGTCACATTTATGCAGGGTGGGCCTTAACGTCCACCATAGTGGCACAGTCACAAAAATAAAGAAGTTGCGTGGTGTGTAGTTTGCGTTTGTAGTGTGGCACTCTCAACCTTCCGTAGGGTTGGGTCGGTACCGTTGGGTGGGTATGGTGAGCAGGGTTGTGTGGCTTGTGGAGTGTTGTGTTTGACACTGCGGCTCTTGACGTGCAAAAGCAGTGCCGAATTCTACGCAGAAGTGCATGGCAAAATTGTATCACGAAACAATGTTACGCCAACGAATGGACCCAAGGGCGATGGTTTGGGCCAAGTCGCTTGGCTCGGATTCGGGCTTCTCGTCTCCATCCGATGATTCATATGGTCGGGCCTCACGCCACTCACGACTAGCAGACTAGCACGCGTCCCCTTAACAAAAGTGGTGTGCAAATCCCTGTGTACAAAAGGGCTGCCAAAGTGGGATGCCTTTAAGTCCAGGAAGTCCAAGGCGGCCGAGGTATGCGAAAAAAATACCATCTAAAGGCAAAACAGCTTTTGAAAGCCATACAGGGCTCCCAAGGCAGCCAGCGCTCGGCGGCATGGCAAAGCCTGGCTGCAGCATTCTGCAGGTCTCTTCTTGGTTGTGCCATCATAGACATTCATGACACGGGTCAGGTGAATCATATCTGGGTGTGAGAATGTAACTATAATAGATCACACAAGCTGTTTCTATGCTGTGCTCGTGCTCGTCGGTTGACATGCAGCTGGACCTTTGGACTGCACATACTCTGGTACACGCAGGGCTGAAGCTTGGCAAAACCAAAAATCACCCAGAAACACTGCAAAGTCACAACCAAAGCATGGACCATTTTGACCATTGCTCTTAGGTTGGAGGCCATCGCTCTTAGGTTGGAGGCCATCGCTCTTAGGTCGGAGATGGTTGGAGGACATCGCTCTTAGGTTGGAGGCCATCGCTCTTAGGTCGGAGATGGTTGGAGGACATCGCTCTTA